TTTCTCTTTATTCATTCTGGAATTTAATCTGTTTTCCTCCTTTCTCACTTTTTATTCCCTTAAAGCATTATCTGTTGTGCTTATTCACTCTAATATCCCTTCTATTATAATTCAGCCTTCATTTTGGAAATGAGTTTTCTCTTTTCTTTCCAATTCTTTCCTGAGTACTATTACCTAATTTCTGCCTTATAATTCTGATTAGTGATTTTCTTTCAGATCCTGTACCATTTTCTTATTTCAGCTCATTTAAAAATATTAAGTTATGGTTTTTATCTGGCTTTGTGAGCATGACTGTCTAGAATGCTTTCATTACAATTAGGGATGTTATTCTGCTCCTTGTTCTAATTTTTCATATAACAACCTCATTACAAGATTTGACTGCAATCCTTTCTGTTGCTCTTTTATACATGAAATTAGTTTTCCTGCACATTTAGGAGGAAGAGGTGGGGCAGAATACCTTTTCTCAATTCAAGCCTTTACAGCTTCCTACTTCTGTTTTCATGACATGTTCAAAAGTACAGCGCCCTCTTTCTGACATGGCTCTGTTTCCCTCCCCGACTCTCATCTGGACTCCTCTTTCCTTTGCCCCAGATATCCATGGCCTGCCCTCTTTGTGTTTTGCTCCCTCTAGCTTCTTCGGACCTTACTGTGGACCCCTTGTGTGTATGCGCTGCAAACTGGGTGTTACTGTTCTCCCACTTGCCCACTGCGCTTTCCAGGGAGCACCTATTGGCTGTTTGGGGTGCTCCTATTTTCCAATTTCATAGACACCCTATTGCTATCCTGTGCTTCTTTCCATAAAAATGCCAATATTGTGTAAGTCTTGGTGCTGCCAGAAGATTCCTTCTACTTGAATTTTTGGTTCTGTGAGGATACCTTTCCACCTTTTGTTGCAGATGTCGATGTGTTTTGATTTTGCTATCTCAGATGCCCTGTTTTTATGAGACAATTCAGGGACTTTCAAAAACTATGCTAGTGCCACTGCCATCTTCCCAAAATTCATTTCTCTCAATTCTTTGTGTGATACCAACCAATGAAATCAAGCTGATAATGGACAAACCACCATCAAGTTTTCTAAAAGTAATGGTTCCAGGCTGTAGTGGTTATCCGTCTAAAACCCATTCTCTCTTCCTTCCTCAATGACAGTATTTTGGTTCATTCAGGGTGACAGTGTGGCCAGCTAAAGAGCACTTCCCAGCCTCCCTTGCAGCTAGGGGTAACCAATAAGACATGAGCTTTCCCATTACAAGGCAGGCCAACTCCACTAGCTAACCCCCTTTTACCCTTTCCCTTCCCACTGCCTGTCAGGAGCTGAGCTGAGCTGGAAGAGCTGAGCTGCCAGGATTTGGAATAGAGTTAAGACAAGTAACAGCAAGCCTTTCATCACTTACCGTGATAGTATAAGCAAGAGGCTAACCAGGAGAAAGTGCTGGCTCCCCTAATGTTCCATTGCCCACCATGGACCAATGCCAGGCCAGGGTCAAGTGGACCAGTGCAAACGTGGAGATGGTCTCACTGCCAAGTGATCCCTAAACAAAAGGCTCCTCCCATTTCACAGGCTTGGGGGCTGAGAAGAGAAAGAGGGGAAACGGGTATTCGCCAGTCTGCCCCCAGATAAATTGGTCTCTGCAGAGACACCTGAAAGAGGCTATGGCTAGGAGGCCTCCAAACAGAGGTGCCTGGGTATGAAATGCAGACATGTGTAAGAACATCCTTGACTACAGTCCCTTCAGATATGCATGACGCTGGCTGGGCACCCAGTCTGGTGTGGGCAGGCAGCTTTTCCCAAGGGGCCTGTGGGGTAAAGCCTTTGTCAGGCCTGAAAGATCAGGCATGGGCTTTTGGCCTGGAACCAGACTCCATACCACCCATACTTTGCTGGAGATAACACAGGCATCTTGGGAATAGACAACAAATTCATGCTAAGGACTGCCAAGCAGAAGAAAAATAAAAAGAGATGGCATCATGGAACAGCCATGTTAACCTCAGATTACCTCTAAATTTCTATTTACACAGGAAAGACAAAACGGCTGACTTATTTAAGCTACTGCTTCTCAGGGTTCTTTTCTAGCTGAATGTAATTCATAAGAGCTGCATGGAGGTCCCAAGGGCAGTGGCTCCCAAATGGTGGTGCTGGTTGGTTCATGAAATTTTCACCGGTCTTGGCTAGGTGAGAAAAAGTTAAGTCAGTCAGTTTTCCATACAGCTAAACTTATCAAGGTTTTAGTACTAAGATTATGCCCCTCCAGATTATTTGATATTATAATGTCCTTTCTTCTCTAAAGATAATGGTGCTAACTGACAATGCTGGCTGTGTCTGAAACCCTTGCTTAAAAATGAAATCCTGGGGCCGGGCACGGTGGCTCATGCCTGTAATCCCAGCACTTTGGGAGGCCGAGGCGGGTGGATCACAAGGTCGAGAGATCGAGACCATCCTGGTCAACATGGTGAAACCCCGTCTCTACTAAAAATACAAAATATTAGCTGGGCATGGTGGCTCGTGCCTGTAATCCCAGCTACTCAGGAGGCTGAGGCAGGAGAATTGCCTGAACCCAGGAGGCGGAGGTTGCAGTGAGCCGAGATCGCGCCATTGCACTCCAGCCTGGGTAACAAGAGTGAAACTCCATCTCAAAAAAAAAAAAAGAGGCCGGGCGCGGTGGCTCAAGCCTGTAATCCCAGCACTTTGGGAGGCCGAGGCGGGTGGATCACAAGGTCAAGAGATCGAGACCGTCTTGGTCAACATGGTGAAACCCCGTCTCTACTAAAAATACAAAAATATTAGCTGGGCATGGTGGCTCGTGCCTGTAATCCCAGCTACTCAGGAGGCTGAGGCAGGAGAATTGCCTGAACCCAGGAGGCGGAGGTTGCGGTGAGCCGAGATCGCGCCATTGCACTCCAGCCTGGGTAACAAGAGCGAAACTCCGTCTCAAGAAAAAAAAAAAAAGAAATCCTGGCCAATTTATTATAGAATCTCTAAACATATTTTTGGAAAAATTTACCGGTGATATTGACTTAAAAGTACTTGGTAGCTTGTAGTCCTAGCAACTTGGGAAGTTAAGGCGGGAGGATCCTTTGAGCCCAGGGGTTTGAGGCTGCAGTAGGCTATGATGGCTCCACTGTACTCCTCCAGCCTGGGCGGCAGAGCAAGACAAAAAAAAAAGTACTTAGTAATAAAACTAAATTCCTCCTCAGATGGAGAAGACTCAGGGGACAAAAAACAGCTGTCTTCAAATATCTGAAGGGAATAAGGCTCAGACTTGTTCTGCCAGGCCCAGGGGCAGAGAGCTAAGACCACCCAGTGATGGCTGCTGAGGCACTTCTGACCGGACAGGCCATTCAAAGGAGGAAACGCTGCCTGAGAGAGACGGATGCTGGTAGCCCCCGAGCAGTGATCACTGGACTGTAAGATCCAGGAGATCAAGAAGCTTGTCTGTTGTGTTCACTGTTCTAGCCCCAGTACCTACAACAGTACCCAGCACTTAGTAGGTGCTCAGAAGATATTTGTTGGTTAATTAATGGGGGGATATTCAGCATTTGATGGGAGGTTTGCCAAGGTGATGTTAAGCTCATTGCAGCCTGATTTGTATGTTTCCTTTACCTGCATGGTCAACCTTAAGTCCAAATGTGTCTTTGTAGCTATCTCAGAAATACATAGGGAACTTTGTCTGGAAGAGGATGATACGGTTTGGCTCTGTGTCGCCACCCAAATCTCATCTTGAATTGTACTCTTGTGGTAGAGACGCAGTGAAAGATACTTTGAATCATGCGGGCGGTTCCCCCCCCACCCCATACTGTTCTCATGGTACTGAGTAAGCCTCAGGAGATCTGATGGTTTACCAGGGGGTTCTGCTTTTGCAGCTTCTTCATTTTCACTTGCCGCTGCCATGTTAAGAAGTGCCTTTCTGGCCGGGTGCGGTGGCTCAAGCCTGTAATCCCAGCACTTTGGGAGGCCGAGGCGGGTGGATCACGAGGTCAAGAGATCGAGACCATCCTGGTCAACATGGTGAAACCCCGTCTCTACTAAAAATACAAAAAAATTAGCTGGGCATGGTGGGGTGTGCCTGTAATCCCAGCTACTCAGGAGGCTGAGGCAGGAGAATTGCCTGAACCCAGGTGGCGGAGGTTGCGGTGAGCGGAGATCCCGCCATTGCCCTCCAGCCTGGGTAACAAGAGCGGAACTCTGTCTCAAAAAAAAAAAAAAAAAAAAAAGAAGTGCCTTTCGCTTCCCGCCATGATTCTGAGGCCTCCCCAGTTATGTGGAACTGGAAGTCCAATTAAACCTCTTTTTCTTCCCAGTCTTGGGTATGTCCATCAGCAGCATGACAAGAGACAAGTACAGAGGACAACAGAAACAGTAGGGGATCAGCCACCCTGACTATCAGAAGCTCAGCCTCCCAGATCGTACGCATTTTGAACAAAGAGTATGTTAAAGGTATCTTTGCGGTGTCACTGGTTTCTCTCTTTAATGCACACTAGCCAGGAAGTTGTGCCACCTTCAAGAGGTACTCAAAGTGCTCTAAGAGAATTTTCCGAAATTTGTCAAAATGGGATGTAGATGAACTTTTTTTTAAGAAAAGGTCTCACTGTGCCACCTAGGCTGGAGTGGCTCACTGCCGCCCCAACCTCCAGGCTCAAGTGATCCTCCCACGTAGGCCTCTCGAGTAGCTGGGACTACAGGCGTGCACCACTATACCCAGCTAATTTTTTGTATTTTTTTTTTTGTAGAGTCAGGGTTTCACCATGTTTCCCAGACTGCTCTCAACTCCTGGGCTCAAGCAATCCACCCGCCTTGGGCTCCCAAAGTGCTGGGATTAGAGACGTGAGCCACAGCTTCTGGCCGAATGTTTCTAAAACTCATGTTCCAGTCTTACAGGAGGAAAAAATCAAAGGTCCATTTTAACTCACACATCATAATGGCAACCACATTCAATCAGATTCTCAGCACAGACAAACCGTCAGGGAGAAACTTGAGGTCAAAGTCACAAAATGCAGACACAGACATCATGTGAGGTATTTATTTTGCAACCATTAGGTTTAGCGGTCCAGTATCAGGTTACCAAAGACATTTTCAAGCTCCGGGTAAATCCCCACCGAAGTTTCTATTGTTTGCCTACTTTAAGATGGCTAGCATTTGGAGAGAAGAAGATCCCCCAAGTAGTCTGTACATAATTCAGAGAGAGGACATCAGAACCTAGCATGGGTCTGTTTCAGGTATTAAGGTACCTACAGTGAAGCATGTCATTTGACTGTGGGTGGCAACGGGACAGCACTGAGCATGCTTAACCCATATCCTGGCATTTCAGTCCAATCAACACATGGTCACAATGGTCATCCATGGGTGAAAAAGAAGAGCTGAAAGACACATGTGCTGAGCAACATTTAATTTCTGCTTGTTAAACGGGTGATTAGGCGCCAGTGTGGCACCATCCAGACACTGGGAGTTTGTGCCACTCCATCAGTTCTCCTGCTGGCTCTGCTCATTTTGCTTTCCTGCAGTGGGTGCCACTTCCCAAAGAACCATGCTCCAGAAAACAAAAGAGAACTGAAAAACAAAAACAAAAAAAAAAATCATGCAGATTTTAAATCTGACGCCTTAATAAGAGGAACACAGAAACACAGACATGCACATGCACAATCCCACACTGAACCGTGCAGAAGGATAAATGGGTCTGGCCCTCTGTGCTTGAAGCTAACAGCAACAGAACGGAAACACCTGCCCATGTTTTACAGCACCACACAGCAAGATAAAAATATAATCTCTTACTTTCCTCATTAGCTGGACTTGGCTGCAGCAACTGTTTGGTTTGGAATAGCTGTAGTTGTTGGGAGATGGTCCATCTCTGGTGCATCAAAAAAGTATGCCTGTGGGAAAAGGAGACCCAGGAGGGAGTTAAAAAAACAATGGTCTGCGTAAGTGTTCTTTCAGACTCCGTGCTAATAGTGCTTTGGGGTTCTCACGACCCCTAAGTTCTTCCTACCATATTTGCCATCACACTAAACTAAGACCATCTCTGTTTACGTTTGTCTCACTAAATTGTGAGTACTTTAAAAAATTTAACTACCATGTATTGAGCACTTACTATATTACATGACTTACTCTTAAGAACCCTGTGAGGTTGTTATGATTATCCTCATTAGACAGATAAAGACATTAAGGCTCAGAGAGACTGTCATTTGATCAGGTGAACATGGCTCATGAGTGATGAAGCCAAGACTCAAAGCTAGGTCTGTCTTGACGTCAAAGCACAAGCTCCTAATCACTACCTTATATAGTCTTTCCTCCAGGGCAAAGGCTGTATCCTTCTTTTTTTTTTTTTTTTTTTTTTTTGAGATAGTCTCACTCTGTCATCAAGGCTGGAGTGCAGTGGCACAATCTCAGCTCACCACAACCTCCACCTCCTGGGTTGAAGTGATTCTTCTGCCTCAGCCTCCCAAGTAGCTGGGATGATAGGCACATACCACCATGCCCAGCTGATTTTTGTATTTTTAGTAGAGATGGGTTTTCACCAGATTGGTCAGGCTGGACTTGAACTCCTGATCTCATGATCTGCCCACCTCAGCCTCCCAAAATGCTGGGATTACAGGTGTGAGCCACCGCGCCTGGCCCTTCTTCCTCTTTGTGACACCAGCAGCCCTGCACAGAGCCTGACATACTATGTAACCAACCAATACCTAATAAATTGAACTACATCAGCTTGTTGCTAAACTAGTTAGTTGGCTTTCTGCAATGACCTTGAAAAGAAAGTGTTAGGCGTGCTTTACCTAAAAATTCTTCAGCTAGAAAAGGGTTGGTAAGTACTTCCACTCACCATCTACAATGTAACTGTCAACAGTGAGAATGAGGTGGAGGAGGGAAGACATAAGGAGAATCTTTCTGCCTGTCTCAATGTCTAGAGAAACCTAACTTGAGCCCAGGAAGATACCAATCTCACTAGCTTTGAATACTGGTTGTTCAAAGGAAAGGTGAATCATCAAGGCCCACTGAACACTCACAACACCCCCTTGGGGTCAGTGCCCTTAGGAAGGCACACTGTTAGAAAGCCACCATGGGCCAGGTGTGGTGGCTCACACCTGTAATCCCAGCACTTTGGGAGGCTGAGGCGGGCAGATCACCTGAGGTCTGGAGTTCGAGACCAGCCTGACCAACATGGAGAAACCTCGTCTCTACTAAAAATACAAAATTAGTTGTGTATGGTGGTGCATGCCTGTAATCCCAGCTACTTTGGAGGCTGAGGCACAGGAGAATTGGTTGAACCCAGGAGGCGGAGGTTGCAGTGAGCCAAAATCGTGCCATTGCACGCCGGCCTGGGCAACAAGAATGAAACTCAAAAAAAAAAAAAAAAAAGCCACCAAGCACCACTTTTCACCAGTTCTGTTCTGTATCAGCCAGGAGGGGGCACCAAAATGACATGCTGGAGCGCTCCCCCTACCTGTTGCTATTCCATATTAACTCTTTTTGAAAACTTCCCAGATGATGCCTTTCTCTGCAGACTCCCTCTAGTTTGCCAGATTCCCAGAGCAATTCCATTACTTTTAAGAGGCTCACTACCTAGGAACCTTTCCAGCAGCTGTTTTCTGGGGCAAGGAATAAAGAGTCCCTAACTTAAGTGGGGGATGGGGCTGCAGTGCTAGTGCTGGGCTCCTCCAGTTCTCCCGCAGGTGCACTGTGCCACAGCCAGGATGCAGGGACAAAGCCTTTCTTCCAGGCGACCGCAGGACACCCTTGTAAGACAGAATGAACAAGAAGGCCCAGGTTCTACAGCTGGCTCTGCTACTACCTCATACTGTGACTTTGGACAAGTTGTTCCACCCACTTTAGCCTCAGCTTTCTGATCTATAAAATTTAAGCATTAGAAAAGACTATCTTAGCTGGGTGTGGTGGCTCACACCTGTAATCCCAGCACTTTGGGAGGCCAAGGCGGGTGAATCACTTGAGGCCATGAGTTCGAGACTAGCCTGGCCAACAGGGCGAAATCCCATCTCTATTAAAAATACAAAAATTAGCCAGGCATGGTGGCACATGCCTGTCATCTCAGCTACTCAGGACGGTGAGGGACAAGAATCACTTGAGCCCAGGAGGTAGAGGTTGCAGTGAGCGGAGATCACACTGCTGCACTCCAGCCTGGGTGACAGGGAAATTCTTGTCTCAAAAAAGAAAAGATTATCTCTTAGGGCTATTCCTTGAATAATCTTGAATCCTAAGATTCATTAATTCCACAAATGTTTGCAACAATCACAGCCATCATTTGGGGAGTACCTACTGTGTACCAGGCACATAATTGATCATTAATCTGCTCAAAAATGCTGTAACAGGCCATTTTATCCCTTTTAAAGATGAGAAAGTTGAGGCTCAAAGACATGGAGATTTTCCCAAGGCTAGACAGCTATGTGTCTGAGCTAGGATTTCAATCCAGTCGAGTCCATCTCCACTGGAGCATCTCCAGTCTGCGCTCTTCTAATTCTCCAACACATCCTGCAGCTTGGCGCCAAGTCTATGTCTAGTCCAGATCTAGGCACCGTGCAGACCTCGAAGCTGAATCAGCAGCTCTCTGCAAGTAGGGGTAGGGCACATTTCCCTGTAAAAGCCAGCAGTAACCACCTCAAACTTAGGCTTGTACATCTCCAAACATACAATAAGGATGAAGCCTCTGGGTGCTTCCTTAGTCATCCCTGCCAGATGTGTTCTGGTATAACTTAGCTAAGTACAATCACTGAGGGGCCCCTGGCAGGTAAGGGGCTGTCATATGCTTCACCGCACTAAGGCAAAAACACCAATCTGTATTCCCCAGGGGAGAGTGAGAAAGCCAAGCTGTCTGGTTCAGCTGGTGCCCCGCAGCTCAAATAACTCCCTGCCAGTTCCTCTCTCTGCCCTAACAATAATAATAGTGTCTTCCACTTACATGACTGGTCATATTTTCCATGCTGCATGTATCATTCAAGCCTTGCAACAGTAAAGATGCTGCCATGACATGCCCGATCGGCTCCTATTTCTAAGTGAAGAGGCAGGAGTCCAGAGAATGGGAAAGCACCCAAGCAGCGGGTAGTGGAGCTGGGACTGGAACCCAAGTTTCCTAACTTTTGGCTCAGCTCTTCTGCAATGCACAACATCTCAGAAGAAAAAGGAGGGGGTGGTCACTGTGGAGAACAAAACCCAGGCACAGTGGGCCCCTGGCTGGACACCTGACCATGGGATATGGTAGGTATAGACCATGTTTCATCATGCTGCCCAGGCTAATTTCAAACTCCTGAGCTCAAGAGATCTGTCTGCAACTTCCTCCCACAGTGCTGGGATTACAGGCATGAGCTACCACGCCCAGCCTGAAATGGGTTCTTAATAATAACCATGATAGCTCCCTGCTCCACTGTTCAATCTGCCCTGCTCCTATTCCTTAGAGAAAGGAGAAAGGCAATGCCTCTTCTCCTGCCTTCTTCTCTTCACCAATATCTGTCAGGTGCGTGAGGGGAAGAACTTCAGAAGAGAGATGGGGGATGCTGGTGAGGGACGAGAGATCCCAGTGAGAGCTGGTTACAATGGAAAGGTTGTTCTTAGAACAACCTTGTGGCAGGAAATATACCCATGTCACAGATTAAGAAATTAAGATTTAGAGAGGAACAGTAACATCTCCAAGTTCACACAGCCAATAAGTGACAGGGCTGGTCTTCAATCTGGGCTTATCTGACTCAAAAGCACATGCTCTCCCGAAAAAGACACCCAGACACATGAAATCGAACACTGTTTTAAATGTTGTTCACCTTAAAAGTAACCCCATTTTCCCATATCTGACTTCATTTTCAAGCTTTCGAGCTTTAAATTTAAAACTTTTAATTTCTACCTTTAAATTTAAACTTTAAACTTTCTACCTTTAAATAAAACTTTAAGCTGAGCACAGCAGCTCATGCCTGTAACCCCAGCACTTTGGGAGGCCAAGGCAGGCAGATCACAAGGTCAGGAGATTGAGACCATCCTGGCCAACACAGCAAAACCCTGTCTCTACTTAAAATATAAAAATTAGCTGGGCGTGGTGGCGTGTGCCTGTAATTCCAGCTACTCCAGAGGCTGAGGCAGGAGAATCACTTGAACCAGGGAGGTGGTGATTACAGTGAGCTGAGATTGTGCTACTGCACTCCAGTCTGGGTGACAGAGCAAGACTCCCTCTCAAAAAAATAAAAATAAATAAATAAAAACTTTAAATTTCAAAAATCTTTCTAGGTATGTGCAGAAAATCAGAAAAGGCATCCAAAAACAGAATTCTCCAATCCCAGCTCCTTAGCCCTATATAGTCACCCCTCCATATCCACAGGCTCAGTCCTCAGGCTCAATCAACCACGATGAAAAATATTCTTTAAAGATATACAAGTTAAAAAAGGACAACAAAATACAAATGTTAAAATACAGTATAATAACTACTTACATAATATTTACATTGTACTAGGTATTATGAGTTCCTGGAAATGATGTAAAGCACACAGGAGGATGTATGTACACCGTTTTTATATAGGGGACTTGAGCACCAATACTTTGGTAGAAGGTCGTGGAACCAACCACACCCCTACAACACCAATACTGAGGAAAGAATGTATGTAGACACTCATCTATCCGTATTTCCTCTAGGCAGACCCCAAATTCTAACTAGATTACTGAAATTAGGCAAAACCAAAGACTGAAGTCAAATTCTCATCATTTCACCACTTCCCATGTAGGTGAGTCTATTTAAAATGGTATTTTATTTCATAGAATCTTTTTTTTTTTTTGAGGCAGGGTCTCCCTCAGTCACCCAGGCTGGAGTGCAGGGGCACGATCTCAGCTCACTGCAACCCCCACCTCCTGGGCTCAAGCGATCCTTCTTCCTCAGCCTCCCAAGTACCAGCTTGAGGATCGCTTGAGTCACCATGTCCAGCTAATTTTTGTATGTTTAGTAGAGATGGGGTTTTTCCATGTTGCTCCGGCTGGTCTGGAACTCCTAAGCTCAAGAGATCCACCCACTTGGGCCTCCCAAAGTGCTGGGATTAGAGGTGTGAGCCAATGCGCCCAGCCCATGGAGTCGGTTCTAAAAGAACTGTTGTGTCTAACAATTTGAGCTTTTTTTAGCATTTGGATATAAAAAACATCAAAAGAATAGAGGAACGAACCCATACCAAGCAGCCCACAGAAAGCAGCACATGAAGCAACACAATTGTCATAATTGTGGCCAATGCAACACGTCGGTTATCCTCACGAACAGCTGGCCAAAATGTCATTGCCAAGACAGATCCTGAGATGCCCAGGGCAATCATGACTAGAATCCAACGAACAGCCTTCTGGGGGATAATCCACAGTATCTGAAAGAAGACAAAAGGAGGAGGGGGGAGTTCTTTGGAGGCATTTGTTCATTCCAGGCATATATGTTTACAAAGACCCCTCAGCCAATCGGCAGCTCTGGTATTTCAGTACAGGCTGGAGGAACACCACCAGCATGCAGACTGAGGCACATGCTTTTATAACAAAAGGCCCAAGATCCAGTGAAGGCACTTGGCTCCCCGGACCCTTTTCATGCTAAACTTCTAACTTCAAAGGAGATTTTTCAGGAGCACATGAGTGTTGAGCTGGAAATAATGATGCTAGGTCAAGTTCTTAGTTGAAGTTTCTACCAAGACCAGAGCATCATTCAGAATCTGCTCCCTAAGGGTGGTACTTACTGCGGTGGGGATATAAATGAAGAGTGAATATCCATAGACACACACAATCTCCAGAAATGAATAGGAGACGATGTTCATAACTTTGCTGTTTCTCCACATGAGGAAACCCCAGAGTGCAAGAGGAACCAGCCAGGCATAGGCATAGATGATGGTAGCTGCTATGGACACTGAGGATGACAGGATACAAGTTTCAATCTCCGTCATGCCTTTAATAGACCATCGGAGCACTCCAACACCTTACTGTACTTAAATCCTACCATGTCAATCGGCTTCAGTGGACAATGGAATCATGTCTTACTGGTCCGTAATCCCTGAGCTTGGCATAGTACCTGATACACAGTAGGCATTCTAGAAATGTTTGTTGACTTAATGAATCTTTAGCATTTGTCTTTGTGGTAATGATCAATAGTCTCTCACATGGTTTCTATAGTTCATTTAATAATTAACAACTAATATTATTAAACAACTGAACTATGGCCGGCGCAGTGGCTCACGCCTGTAATTCCAGCACTTTGAGAGACCGAGGTGGGCGGATCACAAGGTCATGAGATGGAGACCATCCTGGCCAACATGGTGAAACCCCGTCTCTACTAAAAAATACAAAAATTACCTGGGCATGGTGGCGTGCACCTGTAGTCCCAGCTACTCAGGAGGCTGAGGCAGGAGAATTGCCTGAACCCAGGAGGCAGAGATTGCAGTGAGCCAAGATGGCACCACTGCACTCCAGCCTGGCGCCTGGCGAGAGAACAAGACTCTGTCTCAAAAAAAAAAAAAAAAAAAGAATATATTCCAATTGTGGCCAGGTGTGGTGGCTCACATCTGTAGTCCTAACTAGCACTTTGGGAAACCAAGACAGGAGAAACACTTGAGCCCAAGAGTTTGAGATCAGCCTGGGCAACATAGGGAGACCAGTCTCTTCAAAAAATAGAAAAACTGGCCAGTATGCTGTTGCAGGTCTGTGGTCCCAGCTACTCAGGAGGCTGAGGTGGGAGGATTACCTGTGCCCAGGGAACTGGTGGCTGCAGTAAGCAGTGATTGCGTCACTGCACTCTGGCCTGGGCAATGAAGTGAGACACTGCCTCAAAAAAAAATGGGGGGTGGGGAATCAATTCCTGTTACTACTGGGCCTTGATTTACAGCTTTCCAAAAGATTATGTGGATTCATAACCTTGTGAATGTATTTAATGCCACTGAATTACACACTTAAATGGTAAATTTTATGTAACATATATTTTACCACTGTAAGAAGAAAAAGATTATGTGGATTTATATAGATAAGTGGTAAACTCATCTATACATTTCAGTAGATATTTTTGAACCCTAAAACACAAAAGCAGGGCTACAGCACCTAGAGATGGGGCCCAGGAGCTCAGTGGTAAAAAGAACTCAAGGCTAGAAACTGACAGCATTCCAAATGAGTCAAGCTATTCACCAACCTTTTCGGAATTCAGGCACATAATGGTACGTCTTCTCTCCCAGATGGATCAAGAAGTTGGAGAGATTCCCACTAATTGCTATGGCAAAGACCAATGTGGCACATATCCAAAAGGGGCCTGCAAAGGAAACCAGAAAATTCAGAAACAAGAAAATGAAGCACAAGCCTTTAGATTCTTACAGAATTTCTTCACTTCCTTTTCTGATTCTTACAGAATTTCTTACCTTCCTCTTCTATTCATGTTAGCAAAAAGAAAACAAATTTTCTAGATGGGATCAACACTTGCTAGAGGAAAATTTTCTTTTTTCAAAGGTCAAACACAACTCAATAATTAGCTGCCTTAAAGAAGGTGGGGGTTGGTATTCCAATCCAAAGGCCAAAACGCCTTCCACAATTAGGTGAATGAAGACACTGATTTGTGTATAGCTTCTTTTATTGGAGGATCACCACCGACAAAGAAAAATTCACAGGCTTTTTCTTAAGCCTTTCACCAAAATACATGAGGTAAAGACTACTTCCCTTATCTAAATGCCAAATGTTAGCATCACAGAAAAAGAAGTTAAATCAGGCAGAGCCTTCTGCAGCATATAGAAAGAGCAGGGCAAGCAGAACACTGGAGGGCAGTCGATTAAGCCTACCAGTTCACCATGGTTGTGTTTGACTGTGTGTGTCTGTGTGTGTGTGTGTGTGTGTGTGTGTGTGTGTGTGTGTGTTTGTATGTGTGTGTTTGTGTGTGTGTTTGCTTAAGGTTTTTTCTTTTTTTTTAATGAAAAAGTAATACAATGCACTATATACAACTACTATGTATCCACAAAAATTAAAATTAAAATTAAAAAAAGTAATGCATCTATATGGTCCAGTGTTCAAAAGATACAAAGGGAATACAGAGAACAGCAAGCTTTCTCCCTCTCTGTACCCTGGCTCTGTTATCTCCTCTCCCTAAAGCTCACCAAAGTAACCAGTTTCTGATGAAACCTGCCAGGAATATTCCACTCATGTATATAAGCAAATGCCTCTGCACACTTTATATAGATGATTTTATATATATATATATATACATATATATATACATATATTTACATATATACATATATATGTATATATATATATATATACTGAGCACCATACTTTGCAAACCCCTTTCATTATTTGCTTGATTTCATGAACATTATCCTTATCACTCCCCATCTAGAAAAAGTACTATGTAGAACAAATACAATCTTTTTTTTTTTTTGAGACGGAGTTTCGCTCTTGTTACCCAGCCTGGAGTGCAATGGTGCGATCTCGGCTCACCGCAACCTCCGCCTCCTGGGCTCAGGCAATTCTCCTGCCTCAGCCTCCTGAGTAGCTGGGATTATAGGCACGCGCCACCATGTCCAGCTAGTTTTTTGTATTTTTAGTAGAGACGGGGTTTCACCATGTTGACCAGGATGGTCTCGATCTCTTGACCTCGTGATCCACCCGCCTCAGCCTCCCAAAGTGCTGGGATTACAGGCTTGAGCCACCGCGCCCGGCTGAACAAATACAATCTTTAGATTGAAAGAGTTTAACAAATTTTATGAATTTAATTTTTCAATTTCACTAATATTTTGCAATACCCTTTGAGATAGTTTCAGATACCTTGACACATCACAAAAGTACAAACATTACTGTCATAGGAGAGATGACTAGCAGAAACAGATTAGTGCTTTTCAAAGCGAAACACTGGCTCCTGAGGTGGGAAAAGGAACACAGGCTATCAAATGGGATACTTCCAAAAGTCACCAATATGAGTTCTCCACAGATTGCCTCTTTACTGAAAGCTCTCTGCTGTAGCCAAGGACTAAATCTCAAAGTATTATCCTAAGTGCCCACATGTAAGAGTGGCAAAAAACAAACAAACAAAAAAAATGCACAAGACTCCCATAGCCAAAAAGCTTTGTTGAATGAATGAATAAAACTGACCGTGTGTTATAGATGGGCTGAGACCATCCAAGCATATGACCACAAGTGGCCAAAAAATTAACTTACAATACCCATATAACTAGAAAACCAAAAATATCATGTACTCTCAGCCATTATTTACTAAGTACTCACTACCCTCTGCTGGGGACACAATGATGTGCAACAGAGACACAGTCACTGGCTCAGTGCATCCATACACTGTAGGGAGACAGCCAATAAACTATCTAATCTCAGAGGGTGGTACAGGGTGCTTATGGGAGCATATAGGGAGGGCACAAAACCTAGAGAACAGGATGCATAAGCTGGGATCTAAAGAAGGACAGTAGTTTGCCAAGTGAGGACAGAAGAGAAGAGAGGTTCAAGAAGAGGGAACAGCAGGAGCAGAGACTCTAAAGTAAGAGATTACAGTTCGAGGCTGTTTCAGATCAGCCTGGCCAACATGGTGAAACTCCATCTCCAGTAAAAATGCAAAAATTAGCCAGGCGTGGTGGCACACGCCTGTAGTCCCAGCTACTTGGGAAGGCTTAGACAGGAGAATCACTTGAACTCAGGAGGTGGAGGTTGCAGTGAGCCAAGATTGCACCTTTGCACTCCAGTCTTGGCAACAGAGTGAGACTCCGCCTCAAAAAAAATACATATCTTTTTAATGGTGTCATACTATGCATATCCTTCCACAACATGCTTTTTTAAATCATTGTGCTGAGATTTATCTATATTTATGCTTTTAGCTTTCATTCATTTTTTAAAACTACAGACTTCCATGTATGAATACAGCACAATGTATCTATTCTGCTGATGGATATCTTCGTTGTTTCTAAATATTTGCTATTATAAGCAATACTGCTACAGTGAATAATATTCTTCTATATGTTGTCTCATATATATGTGAATTCCTCTAAAATTATCTACCTAGGAGTGAAACTGCTGAATTGTAGGGTATGAGCATCTTCAAACTGCTCCAATTTGTGTACCAGTTACATACCCACCATATAAAAGTTCCCACTGTTCCACATCCTTGACAATACTTAATATCAATGTTCATGAAATCTGACCTAGAGTATGTCACCTGGCTTGGTACAGTGGCTCATGCCTGAAAGATCAGCACTTTGGGAGGCTGAGGCAGGAGGACTGCTTGAGATCAGGAGTTTGAGGCTAGCCTGGGCAACACAGTGAGACACTGTCTCTACAAAAAAATACAAACATGGTCGGGCGCGGTGGCTCAAGCCATAATCCCAGCACTTTGGGAGGCCGAGGTGGGAGGATCACGAGGTTAAGAGATCAAGACCATCCTGGCCAACATGGTGAAACCCCGTCTCTACTAAAAATACAAAAAAAATTAGCTGGGCATGGTGGCGTGCACCTGTAGTCCCAGCTACTGGGGAGGCTGAGGCAGGAGAACTGCTTGAACCTGGGAGGTAGAGGTTGCAGTGAGCCGAGATGGCGCCACCACACTCCAGCCTGGCGCCTGGCAACAAAGCAAAACTCTGTCTCAAAAAAGAAAAAAAAGCTCTTTCCCATCTTGCAAGATGGCAGGTGAAAAAGTTGAGAAGCCAGATACTAAAGAGAAGAAACCTGAAGCCAAGAAGGCTGATGCTGGTAGCAAAGTGAAAAAGGGTAACCTCAAGGCTAAAAAGCCCAAGAAGGGGAAGCCCCATTGCAGCCTCAATCCTGTTCTTGTCGGAGGAATTGGCAGGTGTTCCCGATTTGCCATGTATTCCAGAAAGGCCGTGTACAAGAGGAAGTGCTCAGCAGCTAAATCCAAGGTTGAAAAAAAAAAGAAGGAGAAGCTTCTTGCAACTATTACAAAACCAGTTGGTGGTGACAAAAACGGCGGTACCCGGGTGGTTAAACTTCGCAAAATGCCTCGGTATTATCCTACTGAAGATGTGTCCCGAAAGCTGTTGAGCCACGGCAAAAAAACCTTTAGTCAGCACGTGAGAAAACTACGAGCCAGCATCACCCCCGGGACCATTCTGATCATCCTCACTGGATGCCACAGGGGCAAGAGGGTGGTTTTCCTGAAGCAGCTGGCTAGTGGCTTATTACTTGTGACTGGACCTCTGGTCCTCAAACGAGTTCCTCTGAGAAGAACGCACCAGAAATTTGTCATTGCCACCTCAACCAAAATTGATATCAGCAATGTAAAAATTCCAAAACATCTTACTGATGCTTACTTCAAGAAGAAGCTGCAAAAGCCCAGACACCAGGAAGGTGAGATCTTCGACACAGAAAAAGAGAAATATGAGATTACAGAGCAGTGCAAGATTGATCAGAAAGCTGTGGATTCACAAATTTTACCAAAAATCAAAGCTATTCCTCAGCTCCAGGGCTACCTGCGATCTGTGTTTGCCTTAACAAATGGAATTTATCCTCACAAATTGGTATTTTAAATGTCCTAATAATCTAATTAAATAACCAATTAACTTTTGAAAAAAAAAAAAATTAGCCAGGCATGGTGGCACATGCCTATAGTCCCAGCTACTCAGGAAGGTGAGGTGGTGGAAGATGGCTTGAACCCAGGATTTTGAGTCTGCTGTGAGCCATTATTGTGCTACTGCACGCCAGCCTGATCAGCAGAGCAAGAGCTTGTCTCAAAAAACAAAAAAGTATGTTACTCCTCTGTCCAAACCCTCCAATTCAAGCGAATGCCAAAGGCCTCACTGTGACTTATGAGACCTTGCCTGCCCCTCCACACTGTCTCTCTCACCTCATCTCCCAGGTTCCCATGTCCACTCTCATCCATTCCCATTAGCCTCTTGCTGTTCTTTGAATGCACTAGGCTCCTGCCTCAGGACCTTTGCACTTGCTGATCCATCTGTTTCAAGTGCTCTTCCCTTAGATATCTACATGAATCACTCTCAATTACTTCAGGTCATTACTCAAAGTACCTTTTAAAAATTTCAAATTCATCCATTTATACGAACACTTCATGTCCTTCTCCTCTCGGCTCTTAAATTTTCACCTAAGCATTCATGACTAGAAAAATATTTTTACTTTTCTTTGCTTATTGTTAAACTCAGTAAATCACAAATTGCCTAAGGGTAGAGAGATTTTTGTCTGTTTTCACTGCTGTATCTCCAATACTTAGAATAGTAAGAGTTCAACATTTGTTGAATGAACTGAATGAATAAATGAAGACAAGCCAAATTGTATATGTTGACTAAAACGATGAGCATAAATAAATATCTTATTTTACCTTTTATTTCCCTGGTTGCAGGTGGGACTAAGCATCTTTTCACAGATTTACTGCCTTTTTTCCCCCAGAGTTGCTTGTTTTGTTCTTGTAATTTGTGGGTGTTCAACATACATTATTGTTTCTCACTGCTGGTTGGGTATATGCATTGGAAGTACGTCACCTGGTCTGTGATTTATTTTTTTACTTTGCTTATGGCTTATTTTGTTGCGTAGAAATTTTAAATTTTAGTTGAAATGTAGTCAAAGTTATCAATCTTTTCTTTACACTCTGTAAACTGTCATCTTTTTCTTAACTGCCTTCCTCCAACCTCCACCCACAACAAAACCTAATCCTCTCCGCTGTAAAACACTTCACCTATATTGTACCTTATTTTAACCATGTCTATGAGCTAATGAGGCTACCAGTGTCACAGAAAAGAAGCAAGCTTTGGGTTCAACCCCTGGCTTTGTTATGAGAGGCAGCATAGCATAGTGATGAAGAAATGGATTATGAGCTACAGTGTCGATCTGAAAATTGAGCTCAGCATTTACTAGCTGTATGATCTTAGGCAAGTTACTAGACCTCTGTGTGACTCAGTGTCCTTATCTATAAAATGGGGATAATAATAGTATCTGCCTCATAAAGTTGTATCTGTCAGAAGAATTAAATGAGTTAATACAGGTACTATCCTAATAATAGTGTCTGGCACATAGTAAGCACTATATGTGTGTTTAGCATTATTGTTGCTAACTCTGTAACTATGAGCAAGTTATCTCCTTAACCTCAGTTTTCTCTTTTGTAAGATAAGGCTACCTTGGAGTATGGGAAATAAAATAGCATAATTCACTAAAATAGTGCTTATCTCCATGCTTGGCACTTAAAAGGTATTCAACAGATGTTAGTGCTCTCTCTTCTTCCTCATTGGAGCTAGGGACTATGGCCTTATCTTTAAAGCCTCAACCTCTAGCACAGGGCCTCGCATGAAATAAGGTACTAAAAACTGTTTGAGCACCTACTCTATGCCAAGGCCTCTGCCAGACACTAAAGACACCGAGACACAGAGCCTCCCCCTCAGGATGTTCTCAGGCTACAAGTAAGAATGAATGAGACAGACAGAGAAATCGCCTTGACAACCCTCAGATAAAAAGCATGGGCCAATACAATGGTTTTCACACCAGGCTCCCTAGAGCCCACATTTAAAATCAACATATGCCGGGCGCGGTGGCTCAAGCCTGTAATCCCAGCACTTTGAGAGGCAGAGGCGGGTGGATCACGAGGTCGAGAGATCGAGACCATCCTGGTCAACATGGTGAAACCCCGTCTCTACTAAAAATACAAAAAATTAGCTGGGCATGGTGGCACGTGCCTGTAATCCCAGCTACTCAGGAGGCTGAGGCAGGAGAATTGCCTGAACCCAGGAGGCGGAGGTTGCGGTGAGCCGAGATCCCGCCATTGCACTCCAGCCTGGGTAACAAGAGCGAAACTCTGTCTCAAAAAAAAAAAAAAAAAAAAAAAAAAAGAAAAGAAAAAAATAAAATAAAATCAAATCAACATATATGACTGCTTTACTACTTATCATTTCGGGATTGAGCTTATATATCAATGATACTCACTGAGCATCGGCTTCCTCATTTAAAAAGTGGGGATTCTTTGCAAGGGTTGTTGCAAGAATGAGATATGACCAAGTTCACACAAAGTCTCTGGTGTAGCTCCTGGCACACGGACAGCACTCTCTTTTCCCCTCAAACACAGGCCACTGTTGGGGCCTTTTCCTCAGGAGTACTGGGTGGACCTCCGAGTTTTTCTCAGACATCATTAAGGTCAGGGATGACAACCATCCCTGGCCCAATCCTGTTTCAGACTTCCACTGCTGATGACCAAATCCTAAGAGGAGCCAGCTGATCTGAGGGCAGAGCTGGAACTCAGCGTATCAATGAAAAAGTGTGAGAATACCTTCTCCTCCAACACCAAATGGTCCGCAAATTAAAATCAACAATCTCCTCTTAGTCAAAGTGACTGCATTTATTTCAAGTTTGTAATGTCATTTGATGAATTTTTAAAAATTATTATTTTTTAATTTTTTAGTAAAGACAGGGTCTCTCTATGTTGCCCAGGCTGATCTCAAACTGCTGAGCTCAAACAATCCTCCTGCCTTGGCCTCCCAAAGTGTTGGGATTAGAGCCATGAACCACTATGCAAACCCAGCCTTTAGTAGAGACAGAGTCTCCCTATGTCACCCAGAGTGGTCTCAAACTCCTAGCCTCTGGCGATCCTCCCATCTTGGCCTACCAAAATGCTGGGATTATAGTCGTGAACCACTGTGCCCAACCCCATTTAAAGACCTTTGAAGGATATACTAGTACTTATAATGACATGGCCCTAATATAACACATAATTGTATTTCTCCAAAATTATTTGCAAGGGTCGCTACTGAAGTTCACAAGAGTCAAATAAAACATGGCATGCCCCACCAATAGCACAGTTCTCCAAGTTTCCAGGCAACCCTCACACTCACCCAAGTTCAACTGAAATACGGTAAACAAATCAGCACTACACATACCATAGAGATCTGGATTGCTGCGGATGTATAACCTCACAAAGTTTTTTCCGGGTATTGGCAAAAGAGACCCTTTAATTCTGTCAAAGACCTGGAAAACAACATAGCAGTAATTCTACTGAAGTTTTTTTAAGTTTAATAAATTCAATTACTACAAAATTGAAACTCAGTCATTAGAGCTTTTATCATAGTATTTTCAAATGCTAATAACCCTTTACTTTTATAAGACCATTTCCAGTATATAAAGGCTTTCACATTATTTGATTGTTCAACCATTAAAGAAACAAGTCTCCATTACACGTAAAAGAAAAGGTGAAATTGGTTTCCAAACCTGGTAGGTGTCCACATCAAAGAATGTTTGGTAGTATTCAAATGTCCAGAAGGGGGAGCTTTTCTTCTGTCCAGCAAGTAACTGTCAAAGATAAAATAAAACATAATAAATACATAAGCAATTTCTTAATTCCAGCTGCATGGGGGCGCAGGGGGGATCTGATCTAATGAAAAATCAAAACATTTGAAACAGGCTCTTCTGCATTCAATAACCAACTCTGCAATAGCCAATGCCTAACTCAGCCTGGTTAGAAAAACAAGCATTAGTTTTGAAGTCACAGCAAAAGGGTTCAAATCCTGGTCCCTTCACTGAGCAGAGCTTTGGCAAATCACTAGACTCCTCTCCAGCTTAGTTCCCTTATCTTAAAATTACAGCTAATAAGATCTACCTCATAGGATTATGAGGGGTTAGATTCAATAGTATATAGAATTATGTACAATAATAAATACATATACACACACACATACAGAAGGCAGTCAGTGTAAATACCTTTTTTCTTTTTCGTTTTCTGTTTTTTTTTTTTTTTTTTTTTTTTGAGATGGCATCTCACTGTTTACCAGGCTAGAGTGCAGTGGTATAATCATAGCTCACTGCAGCCTTAAACTCCTGGGCTCAAGCAATCTTCCCACCTCAGCCTTCCAAGTAGCTGGGTCTACATGCGTGCACCACTATGCCCAATAATTTTTAAACTTTTTTGTAGAGACAGAGTTTCATTATTTTTCCCTGTTCTCAAACTCTTGGGCTCAAGTGATCCTCCTGCCTCAGCCTCCCAAAGCACTGGGATCATAAGCGTAAGCCACTGCACCCAGCCAGTATAAATATCTTTTCCTCCACTATCCATCCATGATCCTCCCTATTACTGCCACCTGATTCTCAAAAATCTGATACACTGACTCACTCTCAAGTACTAAAAATATCACTACTCTGACAAAAAAAAAACCCCCACAAAATTCTAATTGAGAAGAGACACCTGAGGAGGGCTATACCTGTCTCTAAAATACAGCTCTTTGGTGGCAGAATGCAGGCCCTGTCATCTTCAAATATGTGAAGGGAATTCATATAGCCAAAAGTACCGATGAACTCTGAGCGGCTTTGCAGGACAAGGGCAGGTGCTATAGGCAGATATTTTTTGTTCATTATAAAGAAAAACGATGGCCAATTAAAAGCAGCTGTGGTCTGTGTTACTCACAGAGAGGGGTGAAAGCGGTGAATGAATTCAGCATCTTCAACTGAAATAACCAGGTTCTCGCACTGGGACTGTCTAGACCAGGCGTCCCCAAACTACGGCCCGTGGGCCGCATGCAGCCCCCTGAGGCCATTTATCCGGCCCCCCGCCGCACTTCAGGAAAGGGCACCTCTTTCACTGGTGGTCAGTGAGAGGAGCACAGTATGTGGCGGCCCTCCAACGGTTTGAGGGACAGTGAACTGGCCCCCTGTGTAAAAAGTTTGGGGACGCCTGGTCTAGGCAAATAGCTCAACACACGGAGAATGAAGAAAAACAGGGTGGGGTGATGCCCCATCCAGGAGCAGCACAGAGACAAGGGAACACCCACCCCCAGCCAAGAAGAGCAGTGAGTGATTGTGTGACCCTACCCAGTAAATCACTTCTTCCACAGATCTTTGCAAGTAGTGGGTCAGGAGATTCCCTGTAAGCCCATGCTACTAGAGTCTTGGGTCCAATATACACAGAGCTATATGGAGTCCCAGCAGAGCAGCTGCTCAGGCACACACGGAAACCCAAGAGTTTTGCATACTGCAGGTCCTGGATTCCCAGCAAAATGGGAGATCCATCCCTACATATCCCTAGGAAGGAGGTGAATCTAGGCAACCAAAAAGCATCGTTCTGCAGGCCTCACTTCCACGGCACCTCACAAGTTAAGAGCCACTGGCTTGGAATTCCAGCCAGCCAGTGGTGACAGGCTGGAGTCTGCCTGAGAAGCACTAAGTTTCAGGGGCAAGAGGCAGCCGCCATGTCACCTCAGCAATTCCAGCCTGCTGGCTCTGGAGAGTCCAGATGGGTCTGGATGAGGAAGCTGTGCTCCTACAACACAGCACAGCTGCATCACCCAAAAGCAGCCAGTGAAAGAAGAGACCAGAGCCGGCAGGCTGGGGGGGGGGGGGGGGGAAGCAGCCAGACCGCTTCTTTAAGAGGGTGCCTGATCCCATTCCTCCTGACTAAGGGAGGCCTCCTAACTCTCCAGACACCTCCTACAGGTGCAGTTAGAGCCGGCAACAGGTCAGTACTGCCCTAGCACAGAGCTTCCAGAGGAAGGAGCAGTCTGGCATCTTTGCTGTTTTGCAGCATTCATTGATGATACCTCCAAGTATGAGAAAAACCCAGGCAACTACGGTCTGGAGCAGAGCCCCACCAAACCGCCGCAGCCCTGTGAAAGAGTAGCCTGACCGTTAAGAAACAAACAAACAAACAAACAGAAAACAACATCAACAAAAAAGACCCCACAAAAACCCCATTCAAAGTCAGCAACCTAAAGATTGAAGGTAGATAAGCCCACAAAGATGAGAAAGAATCAACACAGTAACACTGAAAACTCAAAAGCCAGAGGGCCTGTCTCCTCCAAATGATCGCAACACCTCTCCATCAAAGGCACAGAACTAGGCTGAGGCTGAGATGGCTGAATTGACAGAAGTAGGCTTCAGAAGGTGGGTAATGAACTTCGCTGAGCTAAAGAAGCATGTTGTAACCCAATACAAAAAAGCTAAGAATCATGATAAAACAACACAGGAGCTGATAGCCAGAACAGCCTGTTTAGAGAGGAACATAACCAACCTGATGGAGTTGAAAAACACAACACGAGAACTTCACAATGCAATCACAAGTATCAATAGCAGAATAGGCCAAACGGAGGAAAGAATCTTAGAGCTTGAAGACCATCTTTCTGAAATAAGACAGGCAGACAAGAACAGAGAAAAAAGAATGAAAAGGAATAAACAAAACTTTCAAGAAATACGGGATTCTGTGAAGAGACAGAACCTACAATTGATCAGGCACCTGAAAGAGACGAAGAGAATGGAACCAAGTTGGAAAACATATTTCAGAATATTATCCAGGAGGACTTCCCCAAGCTAGCAAGATAGGCCAACATTCAAATTCAGGAAGTGCAGAGAACTCCAGTAAGATACTCCATGAGAAGATCAACAACAAACATATAATCTTCAGTTCTCCAAGGTTGAAATGAAAGAAAAAATGTTAAGGGCAGCCAGAGAGAAAGGCCAGGTCACCTACAAAGGGAAAACCATCAAACTAACAGCAGACCTCGCAGTGGAAACCCTATAAGCCAGAAGGGATTGGGGGCCAATATTCAACATTCTTAGAAAAGAGTTTCCAATCCAGAATTTCGTATCCAATCAAACTAAGCTTCATAAGCAAAGGAGAAATAAGATCCTTTTCAGACGAGCAAATGCCAAGGGAATTCATCACCACCAGACCTGCCTTGCAAGAGCTCCTGAAGGAAGCACTAAATATGGAAAGGAAAAACTGTTACCTGCCACTACAAAAACATACTAAAGTACGCAGACTAATGATACTATGAAGCAACCACATAAACAAGTCTGCAAAATAATCAGCTAGCACCATGACAGAATCAAATTCACACATAACAATACTAACCTGAAATGTAAATGGGTTAATAAATGCTCCTATTAATAGACACAGAATGGCAATCTGGATAATGAGCCAAGTCCTATAGGTATGCTGTCTTCAAGAGACCCATCTCAAATGCAATGACACAAATAGACTCAAAATAAAGGGATGGAGGAAAATTTACCAAGCAAAAGGAAAACAGAAAAAAGCAGGGGTTGCAATCCTTGTTTCTGACAAAACAGACTTTAAGCAACAAGGATTAAGAAAAAAAGAAAAGAAAAGAAAAGAAAAGAAGAAGAAAGGCATTACATAATGGAAAAAGGTTCAATTCAACAAGAAGGGCTAACGATCCTATATATGCTCCCAATACAGGAGCATCCAGATTCATAAAGCAAGTTCTTAGAGACCTACAAAGAGTCTTAGACTCCCATACAATAATAGCGGGAGACTTTAACACCCCCATGGACAATATTAGACAGATTATCAAGACAGAAAATTAACAAAGTTATTCAGGACCTGAACTCAGCTCTGGATCAAGTGAACCTGACAGATATCTACATAACTCCACCCCAAAACAACAGAATATACATTCTTCTCATTGCCACATGGCACTTACTCTAAAATTGATCACATAATTGGAAGTAAAACACTCCTTAGCAAATACAAAAGAACTGAAGTCATAACAGTCTCTCAGACCACAGTGCAATCAAATTAGAATACAAGATTAAAAAATTAACTCAAAACCACACAACTACCTGGAAATTGAACAACCCGCTCCTAATGACTCTTAGGTAAATAATGAAATTAGGGCAGAAATCAAGAAATTCTTTGAAACTAATCGGAACAAAGGGACAACATACCAGAATCTCTGGGATGCAGCTAAAGCAGTGTTAAGAGGGAAATTTAAGCCGGGCGCGGTGGCTCAAGCCTGTAATCCCAGCACTTTGGGAGGCCGAGGCGGGTGGATCACGAGGTACACAGATCGAGACCATCCTGGTCAACATGGTGAAACCCCGTCTCTACTAAAAATACAAAAAATTAGCTGGGCATGGTGGCTCGTGCCTGTAATCCCAGCTACTCAGGAGGCTGAGGCAGGAGAATTGCCTGAACCCAGGAGGCAGAGGTTGCGGTGAGCCGAGATCGTGCCATTGCACTCCAGCCTGGGTAACAAGAGCGAAACTCCGCCTCAAAAAAAAAAAAAAAAAAAAGAGGGAAATTTATAGCACTAAATGCCCACATCGAAAAGCTGAAAAGATCTCAAGTTAACACTAACATCACAACTAAAAGAACTAGAGAACCAAGACAAAACAAACCCAAAGCTAGCAGAAGACAAGAAATAACCAAGATCACAGCTGAACAGCAGACAGAGACACAAAAAAACCCTTCAAAAAAATCAACAATTTCAGGAGCTGGTTTATTGAAAAAAATTAATAAAATAGATGACTAGCTAGAGTAATAAAGAAGAAAAGAGAAGAATCAAATAAATTACAATAAGGAATGATAAAGAGATATCACCATTGACCCCACAGAAATACAAACAACCATCAGAGAATACTATAAACACCTCTATGAACATAAACTAGAAAATCTAGAAGAAATGGATACATTCCTGAACACATACACCCTCCCAAGACTGAAGCAAGAAGAAACTGAATCTCTGAACAGAACAATAATGAGTTCTTAAATTGAGGCAGAATAAATAGCTGACCAAAAAAAAAGTCCAGGACCAGACAGATTTACAGCTAATCTCTACCATATGTACAAAGAAGTACTGGTACCATTTCTACTGAAACTATTCCAAAAAATTGAAAAGGAGGGACTCCTCCCTAACTCATTCTATGAGGCCAGCATCATCCTGATACCAAAACCAAGCAGAGATAAAACAAGAAAAGAAAACTTCAGGCCAATATCTTTGATGACCATTGATGTAAAAATCCTTAACAAAATACTGACAAACCAAATCCAGTAGCACATCAAAAAGCTTATCCACCACAATCAAGTTGACTTCATCCTGAGATGCAAGGTTGGTTCAACATACACAAATCAATAAATGTGATTGATCACATAAACAGAACCACAGGCAAAAAACACATGATTATCTCAATAACTGATGCAAAAATGCCTTTGAGAACAATTCAACATGCCTTCTTGTTAAAACTCTCAATAAACTAGGTATTGAAGGAACATACCTCAAAATAATAAGAGTCATATATATAGACAAACACACAGCCAATACCATACTGAATGGGCAAAAGTTGGAAGCATTCCCCTTGAAAACCAGCACAAGAAAAGGATGCCCTCTCTCACTACTCCTATTCAATAGTATTAGAAGTTCTGGCCCGGGCAATCCAGCAAGAGAAAGAAATAAAGGGTATTCAAATAGGAAGAGAGGAAGTCAAGTCATCTTTGTTGGCAGGATGACATGTTCCTGTATCTAGAAAACCCCATCATCTCAGCCCAAAAGCTTCTTAAGCTGATAAAGCAACTTCAGCAAAGTCTCTGGATACGAATTCAATGTGCGAAAATTTCTAGCCTTCTTATACACCAACAGGCAAGCAGAGGGCCAATCATGAGTGAACTCTCATTCATAATTGCTACAAAAAGAATAAAATACCTAGGAATACAGCTAACCAGGGAAGTAAATAACCTCTTCAAGGAGAACTGCAAACCACTGCTCAAAGACATAAGAGAGGACACAAACAAACAGAAAAACATTCCATGCTCATGGACAGGAAGAATCAAAGTAATTATAGATTCAATGCCACTCCCATTAAACTACCATTGACATTCTTCACAGAATTAGAAAAAAAAAAAAAAAAAACTATTTAAAAATTCATACGGAACCGAAAAACAGCCCAAATAGCCAAGACAATCCTAAGCAAAAAGAACAGAGCCAGAGGCATCACACTACCTGACTTCAAACTAAACTACAAGGCTACAGTAACCAAAACAGCATGGTACTGGTACAAGGACAGACACATAGACCAATGGAACAGAATAGAGAACTCAGAAATAAGAATGCATGCCTACAACCATCTGATCTTCGACAAAACAAGCCATGGGGAAAGGATCCCTTATTCAATAAATAGTGCTGGGAGAACTGGCTAGTCACATGCAGAAAATTGAAACTGGACCCCTTCCTTATACCATATACAAAAAATAACTCAAGATGGATTAAAGACTTAAATATAAAACCCAAAACTAAAAACAAAACAAAACAAAACAAAACAAACAAACAAACAAACGAACAAAAAAACCCTAGAAGAAAATCTAGGCAATACCATTCAGGACACAGGCATGGGCAAAGATTTCAAGATAAAAACACCAAAAGCAATTGTAACAAAAGCAAAAATTGACAAATGGGATCTAATTAAACTAAAGAGCTTCTGCACAGCAAAAGAAACTATCATCAGAGTAAACAGACAACCTACAGAATGGTAGAAAATTTTTCTAATCTATCAATCTGACAAAGGTCTAATATCCAGAGTCTACAAGGAACTTAAGCAAATTTACAAGAAAAAAACAACTTGATTAAAAAGTGGGCAAGGGACATGAACAGACATTCTCAAAAAACATACATGTGGCCAAAAAACACACGAAAAAAAGCTCAACATCATTGATTAGAGAAATGCAAATCAAAATGAGACACGATATCACACCAGTCAGAATGATGATTATTAAAAAGTCGAGAAACAACAGATGCTGGTGAAGTTGTGGAGAAAAAGGAACACTTTTATACTGTTGGTGGGAGTGTAAATTAGTTCAACCATTGTGGAAGATAGTGTGGTGATTCCTCAGAGACCTAGAGGCAGAAATACTATTTGACTCAGCAATCCCATCACTGGGTATATACCCAAAGGAATAGAACTCATTCTATTATAAAGATACATGCACGTGTATGTTCTGCAGCACTATTCACAATAGCCAAGATATAGAATCAACCTAAATGCCAATCAATGATAGACTGGATAAAGAAAAAATATGATATATATACAGCCATGGAATACAATACAGCCATAAAAAGGAACAAGATCATGTCCTTTGCTGGGACATGGATGGAGTTGGAAGCCATTTCCTTAGCAAACTAATGCAGGAACAGAAAACCAAACACCACATGTTCTCACTTATAAGTAGGAGCTGAATGATGAGAACACATAGACACACTGGAGGGAGAGCATCAGGAAGAATAGATAATGGATGCTGGGCTTAATACCTAAGTGATGGGATGATCTGTGTAGCAAATCGCCATGGCACACATTTACCTATGTAATAAACCTGTACATCCTGCACATGTCCCCTGAACTTAAAATAAGAAAAAACATTAAAATAAAGGAATACATTTTCACAATTAGTTGACAATGGCAGCAACTACCTTACATGGTGGTAAACAGCACATTCCTAGAGGCATTAAAGCCAAGTGTTTTCAATCTTTCTGTTTTGTTGTTTGTTTTTTTTGGTGACAGGGTCTCACTCCGCTGCCCAGACTAGACTGTTAGTGGTGTGATTTCAGTTTACTGCAACCTCTACTTCCCAAGCTTAAGCAATCCCCCAAGCTTAGCTTCCTGAGTAACTGGAACTACAGGTGTTCACCACCATGTTCAGCTAATTTTTTTTTTTTTTTTTTTTTTTTGAGATGGAGTCTTGCTCTGTCGCTCAGACTGGAGTGCAACAGTGTGATCTTGGCTCACTACAACCTCTGCCTCCCAGGTTCAAGCGATTCTCCTGCCTCAACATCCTGAGTAGCTGGGACTACAGGTGCACACCACCACATCTGGCTAATTTTTTGTGTTTTTTAGCAGAGATGGGGTTTCACCATGTTGGTCAGGCTGGTCTCGAACTCCTGACCTTGTGATCCACTCACCTCAGCCTCCCAAAGTGCTGGGATTACAGGCGTGAGCCATTGCGCCCAGCCAATATTTTGTATTTTTTATAGAGGTGGAGTTTCCCCATGTTGCCTAGGTTGGTCTCAAACTCCTGGGCTCAAGTGATCTGCCCGCCTCGGTCTTCCAAAGTGCTGGGATTACAGGCGTGAGCCATGACACCTGGCTCCAAGTACATTCTTTCCAACATAGTAAGGACAGCATCAATATCTTGGGAGAAAGGCTGAAACAGAGGGCCACGAAGGTTCTTTCCAACTCTAATAGAAAATATTGAGCATGGGAGCCCCACAGTCCATAAGCTAGGCTCTCTGTTCACTATCCATGTTCTCTCCACCAGTGTACTTATGGATAATAATGGTCTGTTTGCCTGTTTCCCCCACCAAGGCAGAGGCCATGTATCATTTACCTCTGAACTATCACTGCCTGGCACAGTACCTGGCGCACAGTAGACAGTGAATTAGCACACAAACAAGCTTTAAAAATTGTTTTAAAAATATCTCAAAGATAAGTTCAAACCTCAGTTTTGTCAGAGTCATCGTTTCCCAGTAACTCATCATCTTCTTCTCTTCCTGAGCCTCTCAGAGGTCCTGTCTGATGTTTTGGGGTTTCTCCAGGATCCTCAATGCTTACTGTGGTGGCATCTGGGTTTGCTGTCACAGAAGTGGCTACATCGCCAAATTCTGAAATCGATTCGAGCACAAGGGCCTCAGAAACTTCACTCACACAAGAAATGCTATACTTGGAATCTAAATACAAGCTATCACAACCTCAGCTTTGCTATAGACTCTACCTGCTATAAAGGGCAAATGCTTTGAAAAAAAAAAAAAAAAACACCCATTTGGAGATCAATCTGACATAGATAAATGATTACAAAGACAACAGAATTTGGAGTCAGACCTAGATTTTAGTCCTGGCTCAGCTAGCCACTTACTAAATACATAAGCCCAAGTAAGTAACTTAACCTTTCTAAACCCCAGTATTCTCATCTATATCGTGGGGAGAATAACATTCATTTTAAATAATTTTGGGGGGATTAGGAATATAACCTAAGTCCTAAACTTCTCTTCTTTGGTTCAAGTCCAAAAAATTTTAATGAAAGCTATTTTTTCCAAAAAGTCTACTACATAATCACTACAGAAAATATGGGAACAAAAATGAAAGTGGAAATCAGCTGGGTATGGTGGCTTACGCCTGAAATCCCAGCACCTTGGGAGGCCAAGGTGGGTGGATCACCTGAGGTCAGGAGTTCGAGACCAGCCTGGCCAACATGGTGAAACCCTGTCTCAACTAAAAACACAAAAATTAGCCGAGTGTGGTGCCGCATACCTTTAATTCCAGCTACTCTGGAGGCTGAGACAGGAGAATCGCTTGAACCCAGGAGGCAGAGGTTGCAGTGAGCCAAAATTGCACCACTGCACCACTGCACTCCAGCCTGTGTGACAGACCCAGACTATGGTCAAAAAAGAAAAAACAAGGTGGAAATCACAGGATAAAAATCACTCTTAGGCCGGGCATGCTGGCTCATGTCTGTAATCCCAGCACTTTGAGAGGCCAAGGCAGGAGGACTGCTTGAGCCCCAGAGGTCAAGGCTGCAGTGAGCTATGATCATGCCACTGTACTCCAGCCTGGGCATGAGAGTAAGACTCTGCTTCAAATAAAATAAAATAAAATAAAATAAAATAAAATAAAATAAAATAAAAAATAAAAAACCACTCTTAGTTCCACCACGTAAAGGTTAACACTATTAACATTTTAGTATATTTCCTATTCTTTGCATACTGAGATTCATGCCACTAATGATCATTCATTTATGAATGATCCAATAAGCCAAGTACTGATCTAGAATGTGATAATACTATAATTAATTTTGCATCTTTGCTTTGTCAGGATTGTATATAATTGGAGATTATATACAAAAATGATTTTTCATATTATAACAGTCTTTAAAGTGATCACTTATGTGACTGCATAATATTCCATCAATGAAGATTTTATTACAAATAGACAAGAAGTGTCTGTGTAGAAAAGCTGTTTGGGGTACAGCCTTAAGATGAACACTTAACAGTGTGATCACTAGGTCAACAGGGTGCAAACCATTTTCAAGGCTCCTGAACCACATTACTAAACTGCTTTCCAAAAGAACCTTACCTATTTGTGTCCACCAGGAGTGACTTAGACTTCCTGTCTCTGAATATCCTAACATACTTTACTTAGCTGCTCTGGAATACAATTCAGGGCAGCTCTCAACCTTTGAAGACCAGAGGAAGAGTACCAGTAGGGCACTATTTTAACACTACAAGCAGGGCACCAATCCTAGCAGTAGGATGGGGTTCTTGGACAACTGAGCTCACTCTTATTGCCTGTCAGCTATAGTAGTAGTTTTATGCAGAACACTAAAGTGACTGAAATTAATCAGGTAGCTAATATGTAACAATTACTGAAGCTTCAATTGGCAATGTTTGGGTAGTTTAAGCAACATGAGGTTCTGGAGTGAGATGGTCCTTTGTTCAAGGTAAGACTCTTCAGTAGTTCCATGACCTTGAACACATTACTCCATGGCTCTGAGTCTCTTGTTTCTTCAGTTATAAAACACAGACAGTATCTACCCCACAATGAGAGTCCAAGAATGATGAAATAATAACTATCATTACAGGTATGTCTTGTTGACTGTACAGGGCAATGACATTTAAAAAGATAGCCACAATGTGGCTGGAGGGAATTGACCAAGGAAGATATTCTTAGATCTCACAGTTAAAAAACAGTAGTTAAAATAACTAGAAAAGTATAACTGGGCTGGATGCAGTGGCTCATGCCTGTAACCCAGCACTTTGGGAGGCTGAAGCGAGCAGATCACTTGAGCTCAGGAGTTCGAGACCAGCCTGACCAACACGGTGAAACCCCATCTCTACTACAAACATAAAAATTAGCCAGGAGTGGTGGTGGGCACCTGTAATTCCAGCTACTTGAGAGGCTGAGGCACAAGAATTGCTTGAACTGGGAGGTGAAGGTTGCAGTGAGCTGAGATTGCATCACTGCACTCCAGCCTGAGTGTCAAAAGCGAGACTCGATCTCAAAAAACAAAAAGAGTATAACTGGATTGTGTGTAACACAAAGGATAAATGCTTGAGGTAATGGACACCCCATTTATCCTGATGTAATTATTACACATTGTATGCCTGTATCAAAATATAGGAGTATACTCTGTGAGCATATGCACCTACTACATAACCACGAAAATGAAAAAAAATTTAAAAAAGCAGTAGTTCACCAGGGGGAAGGAGTGCCAGAAGGAGGGACAGACAGTACCACTTTAGAAGTACAAAGGTCAAAAAGGCTCCAAGGATGATAGCTCCTCTAGTTGTTAGGTTCAGGAAAGGGTTCTTGGAGAAGATACCATATGAGAAGGATGGCCAGAGGTGGAGGGGATGGCATCTCATGCAAAGGGAAGGGGATGAGCGAGACCCAGAAGATGGAAAGTGTGCCTCACGATGGAGGGTCAGTGACGGCCTAGTTTCGCTGGAGCGTGGGCTGCGTGCACCTTTAACATGACGACTCTTCACACAGTCTGCTCTGTGTTGGCTATTCTTGTCCATCTCAGCTCCCTGAATGCAAAACTGGTGTGTGTCTTATTTCTGCCCCCAGCAGTCTCCGCTTTTACATCCTGGCATATCCTAAGCTAGCTTCAGCCTCTGTTCCTTTCCCAAAACAATGTCTTTCACCTGAAGGCTTCTGACCTCCACTTTTTCTTTTTTTTTTTTGAATAAAAATTTTTTTAAAAACCGTATGTGTGGCCGGGCACAGTGGCTCAAGCCTGTAATCCCAGCACTTTGGGAGGCCAAGGCGGGTGGATCACGAGGTCAAGAGATCGAGACCATCCTGGTCAACATGGTGAAACCCCGTCTCTACTAAAAATACAAAAAAATAAGCTGGGCGTGGTAGCGCGTGCCTGTAATCCCAGCTACTCAGGAGGCTGAGGCAGCAGAATTGCCTGAACCCAGGAGGCAGAGGTTGTGGTGAGCCGAGATCGCGCCATTGCACTCCAGCCTGGGTAATAAGAGTGAAACTCCATCTCGAAAACAAACAAACAAACAAAAAAAACCGTATGTGTGTTGTCAGGCCGGAGGGCCTCTTCCATCCTTGTCAAGGGGAGTGCTAACCTTCCCTCCTTTCACACAACAGTGACCTCTACTTTTTCATCCCACACTACCTTTCCTCCCTGGAGATGCTTTCCATGACCCCTGCAGCATCCTGCGTTCTTTTCTAAAGACCAAAGTCCTTAACACAGTTGATAAAAGCCCTCCGTGATTTGCCACCTGGCTCCTCCAAAGCATCACTTTGTGTCAGCTGCCCTCACCACTTGTGATCTGGAACACAGGCCTTCTCCCAAGTCTTTGGGAAAAAAATTAAACTTCCTCATTCCACAGGGACTTCTGCATGGGCTGCTCTCTATGCTTGAACTTTCTTGCACTGCACTCCTAGACAGGATGGCTGAGGAAGGCCTCTCTAATGAAGAGAGATTTGAACAGAGCAAGGGAGCAAGGCCATGAGGTTATCTGAAGGGAGACTGTCTCAGACAGAAAGACGGCACAGAAGTCGCAAGCTGTGAATGTACTTGGTGCATAGGAAGAACGGTGACCGCCCATGCAGCCTGGGCAGAGATAGAAAGGACAAGAGCAGCAGGAGATGAAATCAGAGGCATGGAGGCTGCATCATGCAGGGGCCTCCTAAGCCACAGAAAGGGCTCTGGCTTTTTCGGGGGTTAAAAAAAATTTTTTTTTTGAGACAAAGTCTTGCTCTGTTGCCCAGGCTGGAGTGCAGTGGCGCATATCTTGGCCCGCTGCAACCTCTGTTTTTGATCAATTCTCCCGCCTCAGCCTCCTCAGCATCTGGAATTACAGGCATCTGCCACTATATCCAGCTAATTTTTATATTTTTAGTAGAGACAGGGTTTCACCATGTTGGCGAGGCTGGTCTTGAACTACTGATCTCAGGTGATCGCCCCACCTCAGCCTCCCACAGTGCTGGGATTACAGGTGTGAGCCACCACACACGGCCTGGCTTTTTCTTCTAGTGAGATGGGAGCTACTAAAAGGTTCTGAAAGAATGATGTGATCTGGTTGAGTTTCAGAGGGACTAATCTGGCTGCAAAGTACAGACTGTAGAGGGGTAAGGGAGGAAGTAGAAAGACCAGAAGGAAGGTAAGGGCAGACAAAAATTCAGACAAAAAGTAACAGTGATCTTGAGTATGGTGAGGGTAGTGATGGAGGAGGTCAGATGCTAGATGCATTTTGAAGATAGAGTTAACAGTATTTGCAAATTGAGGTGAATTTTTAGTACTTGCAAATGAAACAGATTTCTCTTTAAACAGTATATCTCTTTAGAGAGCAGAGACAGCATAAGGTGTGACACCAGACTGGATGGGTTCAAATCCTGATTTTATCCCTTACTAATTGTGTAACCATTAGGCAAATTATTTTTCTGTGCCTCAGTCTCCTCATTAATAAAACAGGGGAATAAAGTCACTATTTCATAAAGTTGATATAAGGATTGAGTTATCTGCAAAGCATTTAGAACAATGCCTGACATTTAAGTGCTATGTAAGATGTTTATAAAACAAGTGAGTGTTCATCAGTCCCTAGCCTAAGTCAGGCTCTGGGTTATGAGTTCTAATATCTCCTTGAACTTTTCCTCCAGCACTTTCATAGTTTATAGGTATATATTTAATAAATAAATGTCCCCCTCACTAGACTGAGAGTTTCACAAGGAAGGAAACTGACTATTTTGTTCATTCTTCTATCCCTGATAACTAGAACAATTACCCAGTTCCTGGTTATACTCAGGAGATATTTATTGATTCAATGAAGGAATGATCTGATCACATTTCATCCTAATGATCTTTTCACATTTTTATCTGATCCAACAGTGTATAAACCTCTTCATCTTTTTATCTCCAGTATCTAGTACTAAGATACTAGTATCTAGTTATAAGCACAAAGTAAGTGCTCAGTGTTTCCTGAACTAAAGCAGGAACTGTATAAACATTTTCTGTAATCACTGTACTAAATTTATGTTACTTGTCGCCAATCTGAAGGGTTAGGACAAACGAAACACCTGGATGTGGCCAGCAGCCACCAAAATGTTAGAAATAATATCCTTTAAATGTGTGAGGCAGTATAGCAATGAAAATACTTGCTGTGACTGTGGAAATAGTGATGATAAATATAAAGGTGGACACCCAACTGATATACCTTCAAATTGCAAGTCATCTACTGCTGCCATTGAGCCAGTAAGTCTTCTCCCAATTATGAGGAAGAAATTTTGCAGGGGTCTAAAAGAAAAAAATAAGTGAACGTAGTAGGATAACAGTATAAAATATCTGCAAACAAATCTTATTTCTGTATTAGAAATGGTATCACTTTCCCTTGCTTCTCTCTTCAGTGGGGTTTGATAGGTTTATATAAAGATAACCACTAAGCGTCAGGTATTATTAAATATTAAAACTGTTACAAAGAAACTAGCCCGGGGGTCCAAAGGTTCCGATTCAACCTTATTGGCTGTGTATGTACCAGGAATGAATCTCAACCCACTGTGTGAATGTTTGGAGACCAGGTGCAGCCTAGAGATGTAACGATGAGGAAGGAGAGGCTGAGGTTTGAGACAGGTGATGGGGACAGTGAAGAACAAAGGCAGTTCAGCCCAGCCAGTGTTTAAAGTACAGGCTCTGGGGTCAGACAGAGCTGGGTTTGATTCCCGATTCCGCTGCTTCTCTCCTTGTGCGAGCTCCTCGGGGCCTCAGTTTCCTCATCTGTAAAATGGGTGCATAACAGTACCTCGTCACACAGTGCGGGGGCCATTAAATGGGACAGTGTGTGTAAGGCGCCTAGCGCGGAGCCAGGCAATTAGAGGGCAATGGGATGTCGGCGACCCTGCAGCCTGCCTAGGACACCGCGAAGCAGAGGCAGTGTCCTAGGGAGAGGAACTGGGCCGCGGCGGCCCCGGCGGGCAGGAGATCCCGAGACCCCTCAGCCCCGTACACGTCCCGCAAACCCGGCCGCCTCACCTCGCGGGGCTGGGCGTCCAGTGGGTCCCGGGAAGGCTCGGGCCTCAGACGCTCCGCGCCGGTTCCGGTCCAGCCCAGTTACCGGAAGCCGGAGATCCGGGGGGTGGAACTTCTCCGCCTCCTCCGGGAAGAGCCCCGCCTCCTTAAAGAGGCAGCAGCTCCCAGAGACACCTGCGTACCGCGGCGTGCGGAGTCCGCTCCCTCCCGAGGGTTCTTGAAGAGACAGGGCGGAGTGGGGCGGTCGCTGAGTGTGACTGCTTGCTTGCTCACAGCAAGCAAGAAACGCAGAAAATTATCGATTGTAGGATATTCTTACTGTGTGTTTATACCTCTTTTCCTATAAAATATAAAATCGAGTAATGAAAGACGTCAGTGAAAGGAAAAAATAAGTCACCCGCGTCGCCAGTCCCCCAATTTTTGGGGGGCCATAAAAATTTAACTGGTGAGGAAGTGCATGAGCTGATTACATTCTGAATGAGTGATCGAAAGTGCGATGTCTGTTCATATAAGCTCCCTCAGTAAGTGGGCAATTAGAAGACTTTATATCTAATAACAACCACATATAGTGTTTTTTTTTTTTTTTTTTCCCAAGATTATCATGATCAGGCTTTGAATATGCAGGATCTCTAATTCCCAGAACAATCCTGCTATCTTGGGATGAGTATTCTCATTTTACAAAGCGAAAACTGAGGCTTAGAGCATGTACAGGGCGCTTTTGGTTGAGTAAGTACCAGGAATGAATTTCAGTTCATGAATTCAGCTGTGCAAGTATATCAGCCACCTCTTATGTCCCATTTCAGATCATCTTGGCCTCACCTGCTGCTTATTTCACCGCCACTCATCTTATTGCAGCGTCAGCAGATATAACTTGACTGAGCTTTGCCTCCAGCCTATGCCTCAGGCTTCTCACCTTCTGCTTTGAGTCTTGTTTCTTGATGCTGTGGGGTCATGGGACCTTGCTGGAACCACCCAGTACCAAGAAGTGTAGGGATAGAGAGTTAATGTCTCATGGGGCAAATCTCTGACCAATAGGGTCAACAATTGATGAATATATGTTTTTCCTTTTTCCCTCTCAGACAGGTGCCCTTCCATATAGTTTTCAAACTACCTAGTAGGATTAAGCAACCAAATGCCTTCGAAGGGACCAATTTGACAATGCATACTCGCTATGGCTCTTCTTCCTTCCCTGATTTACAAGCCCTTTCCTTCAATCCTGGTTCTTGGATTCGTACTTGCCAATAAACTACTCATATGAGAAACCAACATGAAGGCATGTTGGTACCAAAAGTGGGCCCAGAAAACAGAACCTCAAGTTGGCATTTCCTAACTGAACTGCTCACCAGTCATGTGGCAACAACAAATACATTGCTGGTGATAAGGGGAGAGGGAAGGGAGGGTGGTGATGGCGTGGTAACACTTAGAATGGCAGCATAATTCCTAAAGTGTCTGTCTATAGTTGATTGGGATAAGGTGCAGGTAGAAGACTTTTAAGGTGCTGAGTTACCTAGTGGCTGTGGCACTGGAACAGTAAGAGGACAATGGTAATTATAAGGACTATGGAATGGACCAGATTTTCTTAACTCCATTAGAACCCTTGTAAATAAAATGACAGAGTCAGAACAGCCGACTGTCAACTTGAGGCACTCGGTGAAAGCTAGAGAGCCTTTGTGGCAGCTTTGAAGGAGATTCTTACTCTTCTATAGACTTGAGAAAGACTGGACTGAAAATCAGGCCCAAGATCTAATTGTAAGAGTGGCAAAGTTTTAATTAATACTGAATGCACAGCCTCTGTAGGTCTCTTCCATCAAAGCTGGGACATTGACAGAAAATGAATAGGACCCTGAGAAGTGGGATGAGGATATTTGGGTGGAAAAGCCTGAGACTTGACCATTCCTTGTTTCAAGTTACCCTTGGATCTTTCACAGTGGCAGTAAGAGGACTTTGCTTAGAGATCCTGTCATAATTACCTTCACAACATTGCTTCAGACTAAGGGACCAATTTAATTGTAAAAAAAAAAAAAAAAAAAACATGCAACAGTGACGGAGCATGGAACCCATTGTTCTTACCATGTGACTTGGTCATCCAGAAGTAGGCAGCCTAATAGGATGGTGGAATGGCTTGTTAAAGGCACAGTTAAGGCTCCAGTTTGGGGACAACACTCAGGAGACTGGGGCATTGTCCTCCAGCATGTAGTACATACACTAAGCCATTGGTTTATCAATTATTTATAATGATGCTTTGTTCTAAATACCTAGCTTGTATAGATTTGCAAACCAAGGGGTGGCACTTCCCACTATCAGTTTCAGTGAAACTTACACAGAATGTGTGCCTCCTGCCTCACAAGTTTAAGTTCTGCTTAGTTGGAAACCCTGGTCCCAGGGAAGCAGGGGAGGAGGAGAGAACACTTCCACTCCAGTTACAGTTCCTACTGGAAGCTATAACTGCCACCTAGACATTTTTGGCTTTTCATACCACTGCACCAGCAGGTAAAGAAAAGAGTGCCGGCCGGGCATGGCGGCTCAAGCCTGTAATCCCAGCATTTTTGGAGGCCAAGGTAGGTAAATCACCCGAAGTCAGGAGTTTGAGACCAGCCAGGCCAACATGGCAAAATCCCATCTCTACTAAAAACACAAAAACTAGCTGGGTGTGGTGGCACAGCCTGTAATCCCAGCTACTCGGGAGGCTGAGGAAGGAGAATTGCTTGAACCTGGGAGGTGGAGGTTGCAGTGAGCTGAGACTGACCCATTGTACTCCAGCCTGGGCAACAGAGTGAGACTCCATCTCAAAAATACACATACAAATAAATTAAATAAAAGAGTGCCACGTGGTGGGGTATAATCAGCCCTGATTACTTTAAGAAGTTGGGGGCTGGGCATGGTGGCTCATTCCCATAATCCCAGCATTTTGGGAGGCCAAGGAAGGATGATTGCTTGAGGCCAGGAGTTCAAGACCAGCCTGGGTAACATAAGGAGTGGCTATAACAGTAACAAAATTTGCTAGGCATAGTAGCATGCTTGTAATCCCAGCTACTCTGACTGAGGTAGGAGGATGGCTTCAGCCCAGGAGTTAGAGGCTGCGGTGAGCTATGATTGCACCACTGCCCTCCAGCCCAGTGACAGAGTGGGGAAACCCCATCTCAATTGTTAAAAAACAAAAACAAAAGCAGAACAAAACAAAAAAAAAGGTCTTGGGTGTGTTTTAAAACACTTTTCAACTCTGAGCTCCATGATGCTTCTTTCAGTTTCTCCAATCAGCTATGCTGTCTCTGGCTTCTGGGCCTTTGGTCATGTGGTTCCTTCCATCAGGACATATCCCCTCTTTGGCCAGCTGACTGCTTGCCATCTTTCAGATTTCAGCATAGAAATCACTTCCTCAGGCTGGGTGTGGTGGCTCACATCTGTAATCCCGGCACTTTGGGAGGCCAAAGCAGGTGGATTGCTAGGTTAGGAGTTCAAGACCAGCCTGGCCAAGATGGTGAAACCCCATTTCTACTAAAAATACAAAAATTAGCTGGGCATGGTCATGGGCATCTGTAATCTAATCCCAGCTACTTAGGAGGCTGAGGCAGAGAATTGCTTGAATCCAAGAGGCAGAGGTTGCAGTGAGCCAAGATTGCACCACTGTACTCCAGCCTGGGCAACAGTGCGAAATGCTGTCTCGCAAAAAAAAAAAAAAAAAAAAAAAAAAAAAAAAAAGAGAGAAATCACTTCCTCAGTGAAGTCCTCTTGACTTCTCCAACCAGAATTAGCTTCCCCTTCTCCATGCTCTCGTACCCCCCACACACCCTCCACCTCTGACTTCATATAGGAAATGGTAGTTTTTCTGTTTACTTGGCTATTCCCTGCACTGGACCATGACTTCCTTGAGAACAGAGGGTGTTTTATTTATCACTCCATCCCCAGTGCTAAGGGGAGTTGCAGGCCCCAGGTTTTGCTAGGGATGATCCCGTTTCTGTCTTTGCCCTGGGAAGTTTCAGATCCCTATCTCCCTGGGAGGGCTCTGACTACAGAAATAGTCAACCACCAGCTAGAAGTCATCATGGGGAAACATCTTTCATTAGTAAAAGAAGAGTTTGTTAACATGCAAACCTATTGACTTGCAGGAGAGCCTCTAACAGGGTCTCTTTAAGTGTGGTCTTTTTAAGTATTTGTTTTTTAAACATTAATCAGAGGGAGAATTTAAGATGTGGAATCTACGAATCCAAGAATCTCTCTAAAGTTAAGGCAAAGAATGGGAAATGTTCATGATTAGAACAGACCTTTGTGCACCTGGTTAGGAATTTTCTGTCTCATGACAGAAAGGCAAACATCTTCTGACCTGACTCCTTCCCCCGGCCCGGGTTGGCTGCTCCTACCCTGTACCTTCATTCAGCTCCGCCCAGTGTCGCCTGGCTGCAGCCTCTCTGCCCGTAGGTCTCAGAGCTCACTCTGGCTGTGCCGAGATGGGGCTGCCCGGGCCAGGGCTATGGCTGAAGAGGCTCTGGGTGCTCTTGGAGGTGGCTGTGCATGTGGCTGTGGGCAAACTGCTTCTGACATTGTTTCCAGACAGAGTCAAGAAGAACATACTAGCCATGGGCGACAAGACGGGTATGACCAGGAACCCTAACTTCAGCCACGACAACTGGATCCCGACCTTTTTCAGCACCCAGTATTTCTGGTTCGTCCTGAAGGTCCGTTGGCAGCGACTAGAGGACACGACTGAGCTAGGGGGTCTGGCCCCAAACTGCCCAGTGGTCCACCTCTCAGGACAGAGGTGCAACATTTGGGACTTTATGCAAGGTCAGGAGGCTGCTACCCACTTGCGGGGTGCTTGAAATAGCACCGGTAGAGGGGGATGAGGAGATGGGTTGGAAAGTCCTGAATTCTCCTAATACTCTTGCTGCACCTTGTGGAACTCGTCCTCTTCCTGCTTCCTGTAACTAGGACTTCTTGTGGATTCTGTTTCTCTAAGTAACATCACCACCTTCCCAGGCACTCACATCACGAACCACCCTGTCCGGCATTTCAGCCCCTGGAACACTGCTCTTACTGCACAGGCCGATCTGCCTCTCTCCGTTCGGCTCATGGCTCTCTGTCTGCGCCTCTCCTTGGAC